TTGACCAACAATTGGAGGCCACCCCTGGCCACCCTTGGCTTTGACCGACTGTCTCCTGGCAGGTTACACCCAACAGTTGGCGTTCCGCAAACCCGACAGCTCCTACGCCGCCTTCCTCAGTCGCCCCTCCAGCACCTGGTGAGGGTCCCACCCCCATCCCCACCCCCACCACCTGGCCCAGGTGAGCCAGGTGTGACCCTCAGGTGTGTCCACGCCCAGGTTGACCGCCTACGTGGTCAAGGTGTTCGCCATGGCCCAGAAGTTGGTGGACATCGAGCACCGCGAGATCTGCGGCCCCATCAAGTGGCTCGTCCTCAACAGGCAGAAACCGGACGGGGTCTTCCAGGAGGACGGGCCCGTCATCCATAAGGAGATGGTGGTAGGGGGACACACCTGGAGGGGGCGGGGTGAAAAGTGGGCAGGTTTGGGGTGAAGGTCTGGTGGGTTTTGGGTGGTTTTGGGGTGGTTTTGGGTGTTTTTGAGGTCTTTGGGGTGTTTTTTGGGTGTTTTTTGGGTGTTCCTTGGGTGAAGGTCAGGTGAAGTTCAGGCATTCTATGGGTGTTCCTTGGCTGAAGTTTGGGTGGTTTTTGGGTGCTCCTTGGGTGTTTTTTGGGTGGTTTTGGGTGTTTTTTGAGGGTTTTTTTGGGTGTTTTTTGAGGTTTTTTTGGGGTGTTCCTTGGGTGTTTATTGGGTGGGGTTTGGGTGGTTTTTTGAGGTTTTTTGGGTGTTCCTTGGTGAAGGTCAGGTGAACCTCAGTCAATTCTTTGAGTGTTCCTTGGCTGAAGTTTGGGTGTTTTATGGGTGTTTTGATTGTTTTTTGGTGTTTTTTGGGCATTCCTTGGGTGTTTCCTTGGGTGAAGGTCAGGTGAACCTCAGGCATTCTATGGGTGTTCCTTGGCTGAAGTTTGAGTGTTTTTTGGTTGTTCCTTGGGTGTTTTTGGGGGGGTTTTGGGTGTTTTTTTTAGGGTTTTTGGGTGTTCCTTGGGTGTTTTTTGGGCGTTCCTTGGGTGTTTCCTGGGGTGAAGGTCAGGTAAACTTCAGGCATTCTATGGGTGTTCCTTGGCTGAAGTTTGGGTGATTTTTGGGTGTCCCTTGGGTGAAGTTTGGGTGTCCCTTTGGATGTCCCTTGGATGTTTTTTGGGTGTCCCTTGGGTGTCCCTCAGGTGTCCCATGGGTGTCCCTTGGGTGTCCCTTGGGTGAAGTTTTGGTGTTATTTGGGTGTCCCTTGGGTGAAGTTTCAGTGTCCCTTGGGTGTCCCTTTGGATGTCCCTTAAGTGCTTTTTGGGTGTCCCTTGGGTGAAGTTTGGGTGTCCCTTTGGATGTCCCTTGGATGTTTTTTGGGTGTCCCTTTGGTGTCCCTCAGGTGTCCCATGGGTGTCCATTGGGTGTCCCTTGGGTGTCCCTCAGATGTCCCTTAAGTGTTTTTTGGGTGTCCCTTGGGTGAAGTTTTGGTATTATTTGGATATCCCTTGGATGTTCTTTGGGTGTCCTTCAGGTGTTCTTTGAGGTTTTTTTGGGTGTCCCTTGGATGTCTCTTGGGTGTCCCTTGGGTGAAGTTTTGGTGTTATTTGGATGTCCCTTGGATGTTTTTTGGGTGTCCCATGGGTGTCCATTGAGTGTCCCTTGGGTGAAGTTTCTGTGTCCCTTGGGTGTCCCTTGGGTGTCCCTCGGGTGTCCCTTGGGTGAAGATTCGGTGTTGTTTGGATATCCCTTGGATGTTTTTTGGGTGTCCTTCAGGTGTTCTTTGAGGTTTTTTTGGGTGTCCCATGGGTGTCCCTCGGGTGTCCCTTGGGTGTCCTTTGAGCATCCCTCACACCAACCAAAGCCTCAATTTCCGATGAACTCCGGGAAAACCCCGATCCCGAATTTTTTTCCCCCTCCTTTTTCTTTTTTTTCCCCCCCCGCCCTCAGGGAGGTTACGAAGGCGCCGAGCCCGAAGTTTCCCTCACCGCCTTCGTCCTCATCGCCCTGCACGAGGCCCGAGACACCTGCAAGGACCACGTCAACGTGAGTCACCCCCTCTTTGGCCACACCCCAAACCCCCTCCTGGAAAACACCTGAGAACCCCCAAATTTTTTATTTTTTTTTCCATCCCAGAGTTTGGATGGGAGCATCGAGAAAGCCGCCGGCTTCCTCATCCGCCGCTACGAGCAGCTGGCCCGGCCCTACACGGTGGCCCTGGCGTCGTACGCGCTGGCCCTGACCGGCAAGCTCAAGAGCGAGAAGATCCTCATGAGGTTCTCCAAAGGTGAAATGGGGGAGAATTTGGGGTGAAAAGAGGNGTTTTGATTGTTTTTTGGTGTTTTTTGGGCATTCCTTGGGTGTTTCCTTGGGTGAAGGTCAGGTGAACCTCAGGCATTCTATGGGTGTTCCTTGGTTGAAGTTTGAGTGTTTTTTGGTTGTTCCTTGGGTGTTTTTGGGGGGGGGTTGGGTGTTTTTTTTAGGGTTTTTGGGTGTTCCTTGGGTGTTTTTTGGGCGTTCCTTGGGTGTTTCCTGGGGTGAAGGTCAGGTGAACCTCAGGCATTCTATGGGTGTTCCTTGGCTGAAGTTCGGGTGGTTTTGGGTGGTTTTTTTTGTGGTTTTTGGGTGTTCCTTGGAGTTTCCTGGGGTGAAGGGCAGGTGAACCTCAGCCATTCATTGAGTGTTCCTTGGTTGAAGTTTGGGTGTTCCTTGGGCGTTCCTTGGGTGTTTTATGGGTGTTTTGGGTGTTCCTTGGGTGTTTTTTGGGCGTTCCTTGCAGTTTCCTGGGCTGAAGGTCAGGTGAACATCAGTCAATTCTTTGAGTGTTCCTTGGTTGAAGTTTGGCTGGTTTTGGTGTTTTTTGGCTGTTTTTTGGGTGTTTCCTTGGGTGAAGGTCAGGTGAACCTCAGGCATTCTATGGGTGTTCCTTGGTTGAAGTTTGGGTGTTTTTTGGATGTTCCTTGGGTGTTTTTTGGGTGTTTTGGGGTGGTTTTGGGGGTTTTTTGGGTGTTCCTTGCAGTTTCCTTGGGTGAAGGTCAGGTAAACTTCAGGCGTTCTATGGGTGTTCCTTGGTTGAAGTTTGGGTGATTTTTGGGTGTCCCTTGGGTGTCCCTTAAGTGTTTTTTGGGTGTCCCTTGGGTGAAGTTTGGGTGTCCCTTGGGTATCCCTTGGGTGAAGTTGGGGTGTCCCTTTGGATGTCCCTTGGATGTTTTTTGGGTGTCCCTCAGGTGTTCCTTGAGTGGTTTTTGGGTGTCCCTTGGGTGTCCCTTGGATGTCCCTTGGGTGTCCTTTGAGTGAAGTTTTGGTGTTATTTGGATATCCCTTGGATGTTTTTTGGGTGTCCCTCGGGTGTCCCTTAAGTGCTTTTTGGGTGTCCCTTGGGTGAAGTTTGGGTGTCCCTTTGGATATCCCTTGGATGTTTTTTGGGTGTCCCTTTGGTGTCCCTCAGGTGTCCCTTGGGTGTCCCATGGGTGTCCCTTGGGGGTGTCCCTTGGGTGTCCCTCAGGTGTCCCTTGAGTGGTTTTTGGGTGTCCCATGGGTGTCCATTGGGTGTCCCTTGGGTGTCGCTCAGGTGTCCCTTAAGTGTTTTTTGGGTGTCCCTTGAGTGAAGTTTTGGTGTTATTTGGATGTCCCTTGGATGTTTTTTGGGTGTCCTTCAGGT